ACATTTAAATTTCAATGTGTAAGTGGACATCATAAAATTTAATAGTGTAAATTTTGACAACAGAATAGACAAAATATATAATGACAATATTTAAAGAGCTTGTACAAATCAATAAGAAAACACGTAATTACCATTTTGCTATTAGCATAGGATAGACACCCAGTTACAAAAAAGGCTAATATATGAAAAATATTGTCTAATTAATGGTCAAAGAAACAAAAATTTAAATATTGTGATACCATTTTTAACTTATCATATTGGCTGTGATTTTTTAAATAAATTGTGCTTCCTGAGATATGGTGAGGTAGAGATTCTCATACTTTGTAGATTTTTTTCAGATTGATTTGGCAGTATGTATCCAAAACCAAAAAGAGCATCCCTTTTCAGTCTTATACCAAAGACATAATCAGAGATTCATGCAAAGATTTATAATACTGTAAAAATGTTAACCTAAATAAATACCCACAGGAGAATGGTTAAACAAATTATGGGATCCTCATTATTGAAAACTATGCAACCTTAAAAATGGTGCTTTCAACAAATGTTTGATGTAGAAAAATGCCCATATTGTGTGATTCAGTGAGAATGGCATAAAATGATATATGATTTTAGCTTTTGTTCTATATGTTTAACTGAAAAAAATTCGAAGCTTATTCACTAAAATGAACTTTTATTTTCTTCTTTTTTTGCTTTCTATTTTCTAAGTCTATTAAAGTAACCAATATTTTGTAATCAAACAAGATCAGTGAACATTATGAAAAAATGTATATCTGTATAAGATAAGTTAATGTGATTTGAAAAATATGTAAATGTAAGGTCTTATTCCTACATTTATGCTTATAAAAGATTTTGCCAAACTTAATTCAAATTTCTTTTTTTTAATGTAAAAAAGAATTTTATTGTTATTTATTTTGAGATTGATTACAAGAGATTTATGTTACCCAGAGGAGTAATTTATTTATAGTTGAAAGGATGCTTTTCCAATAATGAAAATACTAAAATCCTGTCTCAGGACCTTGGTACCATGATTCCTAGGAAATGAAATTAGTAATTACTGGGTATCGAGATAGCCTTGCTCTCAGGAAAGAAAAAAAACAAATTGTGTACTTTATTCAGCCCATGGTAAGGCCAAGACATTTAGTTCTACTTGTGTGTAGACTATACTAGATTTAGTTTTCCTACCAAAATACTATTTAATTACTTTCACATGCTTATACAACTCTTCTTTTTGTAAACTCCATTAAAACCATCCTTGAGACAATAATACTGCAGGTTTTAGCTTCTTTTGGCATATATTTTGATATGTATGTTCTTAAGAGAGACATGAAACACTTGTTAGCTTCATTTCTAATACATTTATAAAAAGATTTCCTGTGGCAAAGCACATCCATAGATTCATCATATGTTGATGAATCCTTATTCATTATATATTGACTGTGTTAACTTCCATCCCAGAATCCTGGAATTTGTGAATGTTTTTCATAAATTCTGGGAGCTTTTTTTTCTTAAAAACATAAACATCTTCTACAAATTCTGTAAACGCAATCTTTTTCTGTAAATTCTGGATGCTTTTTTTTTTTTATCTGAAGGCTGTAATTCCTCATTCATTCATTTATTCACTCAGTAGATATTTATTGATTTACTACTATGTAGCGGTTACTAGGGTCACCAAAGTAGATAGCACATGATCGTAATCCCTTCCCTTACTAATTTTGCTAATTTTTGTTTCGTGTCTTCTCTGAGTTAGGATAGATAAATGGAAGCTTGATTTGTGTGGGGGAAACTGAGTAGCAATAACATATGATGAACAACCTTCATAGATATGTATATTATAAATATATATATACTTAATATAAGATACTTAATATATTTTATATACAAATATATATTTGAATATTTAATATAGTAAATATAGTTTTTAAATATTAATATATATGTTTTTAAGAATGGGTACAATTGTAGTGCAATTGTAGGTAATGGGTCTGGAGCTCAGGAGAAAGATGTGATACCGATTTAGCAATTGTTTGGTGTATAGATAATAATTGAAACCATGGAAGTGGCTTTCAATATCAACCCCTATCTTCTTTAGGATAGGGAAATGAAGTCAGCATCCATCTGTATATTTAAGGTAGATTTACTAGTGTTGCTAATTGAAAGATAAATTTTTGCAACAAGATATCATCTGCCTGAAAACTAACTGCAGCCTCAATGAATTAAAGTCATGTCCTCATAATAAAAACGCTTGCCCCAAAGAGAAGCAATCATTCTGATTTACAGTCTTTCATTATTCTTTGTTTCAAAATCCTTATTTTGTCAACTCAAGAAAACCAGTTGCATTTTAGGAGATTCTGCATGTCATAGTACAATTTAGTACTTTGAACTTTTATGATCAGTTTAGATGAATATTTAAATAAGTGGAATAATTTAATACCACTGTTAGAGCACTCATAATAGTACTTTATAATAGATTATTTACTTGCTCTTCTCACAAGACTGTGAGCTTCTCCTATTAATCTTTGTGTCTCTAGAATATAGACCCTAGCATTTAAAATGTGTTCAATAAATAGTGGATAAATCAATTGTTAGAAAAGAAAAAGAAATAAGGTGTTTGACAACTCTTTAAAAGGATTACCTACAAGTGAAGTAAAGCCTCTTTTTCTGAAGAGTTACAAATAATTTAAATACTTCACTTAGCTGATTTGGGGAAAAATGCTTTATAAATTTAATATTGTTCAAAAGTATTTATGATAACTTTCATCCTCATTTGTACATTGTGTTTAAAATTCTCAATATTTTGGTGTTAGAAGTTGATCATCCTCTACAGCATCTTAATTTGTAATTTTAGATTATAATTAACATTATTTTAGTAACAGGGTATCTCAGATGTTGGAATATCAGAAAATCACTACAGTAACTGTCAGTTAAGTAGAAAACCATCAGTCAGTTGGTCTTTTTCTCTCTCTACACACATGTGCACACACACAATAAATTTTTTAAACAACAAATTTGCCTTTGTATTCATATTCTCAATAACATTATATTTAAGTATGTTATAGTAAACTCAGGAAACTGAAGTTTTTTTCTTATCATTTCAGAAAATAGAAAATCCTGATGAACTGGCAGAACTTATAAATATGAATCTTGCACAACTTTGCTCACTTCTGATGGCTTTATGGGGACAATTTCTGGAAGTTATAACACTACATGAAGAACTAAGAATACTATTAGCACAAGAGCATCATACTTTGAGGGTAAGTTAAAGAAAAGTGATGTTAGAGCATTTTAATGAGTATTATTATCTTTAGAAATTTCTTATGAATAAAAAGGCTGATTTTTACCTAACATTGATAGAAAAGAAACATTTATCATTATGTTATTGTTTGACTTTTAAGTTAATAACAGAACAAGCCGGGTACAGTGGCTCATGCCTGTAATCCCAGAACTAGGGAGGTTGAAGCATGAGGATCACTTGGGCCCAGGAGTTGGAGGCTGCAGTGAGCTAGAATCATGCCACTGCACTCCAGCCTGAGTGACAGAGAGAGATCCTGTCTCTAAAAATAAATAAATAAAAAATAATGGAGCGATGCATTTAAGCATATGACCTGTCTCAGTCACAATGGTTGCTTGTAAGAAAAACCACCCAAAAGTAAATAAAATAGGAAAATATATGATATAAGATAGCCTCTGGAACCTGAGAACAGGAATTATAGCCAGGCCTCATTAGGGACAGGACTCAGGAACTAGAGAGCCATCTCAAACTAATACGGAGTCTCTCTCTTCTCCTTTTCCTCCCCTCCCCTTTACCTCCTCTCTCCATCCCTCACCTCATATAAGGATGTGTATTACAATCTTGACAGGGTGGAGGGAGTAGTCTAGACATACGTGTTTGCTATTAGCCTAGTATGGACATCATGCAGAAATTTTTCTACAATTTTATTATGTAACATCCCAAGAGACTTTAAGATGTTAAATATCTGATTATCTTTCCACTCTCATTTCCTTATATACCCTGCGTGCACCCTAATTTTCCTTAACCTACTAGGAGTTCCTCCACACATCATGTTTATTTTCTGTTTTCCTTTTTTTATTTTTCTTTTCTTAATTATAAAACATAACATAATCAAAATCAGAAAAGTATATAAAACATGCACATTTTATCAAATAGTTAAAAAGAACACACCCTTTTGATTATTACCCACATGAAGAAATAGAATGCTATGAACAGTACAGGTGTCCTCTATGTGTCTTTCAGTTACTCTCGCCTTTCTGATACTGAGATGTAATCACTATTTTGTCTTTTATGATGATGAGTTCCTTCTTTTTCTTTTAGTTTTACCACCTATGTATGCACACTAAATAGAGGTTATTTCCACCTGTTATTTAGTTCTATATAAATGAGATTATACAGTGTATATTCTTTTGTATCTTGATTTTTTTGCTCAAGACTTTGAGATAAATCCATGTTTTTGTCAGTAGCTGTAGATTGTTCATTTTCATTGCTGTGATGTACTCCATTTGAATATACCTACAATTTGTTTATCTATTCTGTTGATGGGTATTTGGATTACTTCTAACTTGTACCTGTTACAAACCAAGCTGCTATGAATTCTTGTACATATTTCTTGTCATACCAGTTTCTCTGAAATAGTTACCTACAAGAGAAATTGCTGGGTCATAGGGTATGCATAACTTGAATTTTGCTAGCTAATGCCACACTATTTCCAAAGTGGTGCCAATTTTCACTCCCACCAGCATTGTATGAGAGTCTCATTATTCCACCTACTCTGCAACTCTTGATGTTGGCAAACTTTTTAAACTTTGCCAATCTGATGGATGAGATATAGTATATTATTGTGGTTTTAATTAGTATTTCTCTGATGACCCATGCAGTTGTATACTACTTTGTATGATTATTGGCTCTGTAGGTTTCCTATTTGTAAAGTGCCTTTTCAAATCTTTTACCCATTTTTCTATAGAATTATCTGTCTTTTTCTTCTTGATTTATAATAATTTTCTATGTATTCTAAATTCTGGTCCTCTGTTACATGTTTTTATAAATAGATCCTCTCTTATTTCATTATTTGCTTTTTTCACTGTCTTTAGATTGTCTTTTGATGAACTAGAGGTCTTAATTTTAGTGTAGAAGGAACAAAGGAGAAAGGCCAGACATAGACATATACCTTTGTGGAGATAATATATGCAGATCAGCCTGGAAGAGGTGAGATTGTCAATAAATGACTCTGGGACAATTGGGTATCCATGTGGAAGAGTATATAAAATTCAATTCCAGGTGAATTGAAGACTTAAGCATGAAAGGCAAAACCATGAAGCTTCTAAAATATGATAGGAAACTTATAGAAGGCTTAAAAAAATAGTATAAGGAGCTCCTATCTGCTTTTTATTAGGATCACAAATTACCATTTTGGCACATTTGCTTTATCATTCCCTCTTTTTATAAATAGATACATAGATAAATATATACATATATATATTTTTTTTTCTGAACCATTTGATAATTACAGTGTTTTTTATCCCCAAATACTTCAGCATGCATTAATATTTCCTAAGAACAAGGCCATTCTCTTAACCACAGTACAGTGACCAACTTTAGAAAATTTTATGTTGATACATACTGATATTTAAAGTATGATCCCCATTTAAATTTTACCAATTGCTTTAATAATGTTCTGTATGATAACTTTTTCCCTTTGCCAGGATCAAATTGAGGATCACACATTGCATTCAATTTTCATGTCATTTAATCTGGAATAGTTCCTTATCTTTGCTTTGCCTTTCATGACTTTGACTTTTTTGAGGAGTATTGGCAGTAGTTTTGTAAACCATCCTTCAACTTGGGTTTATATTTGTATCAAATATATAATTAGGTTTATGATTATATTATGTAAATTATAATATGTATTATGTATATTTGTATTATATATAATGTAGTGTATATATAATTATATTTTGTGATGATTATATTAAAATGGTACAATATTTGTGGTGATATTACATTTTTTCCCCAGTCATTTTTGGTAAATTATATTTTTCTAAGAGTTTGTTTATTCTAAGCTTTTAAATTTATTGACATCAAAGAGTTCATAGTATGCTTCAGTTATCTTTTTTTAGATCTGCAGTGTCTGTAGTGTTTTCCCCAGTTTCATTCCTGATATTAGTTATTTGTGCCTTCACTCTTTCTTTCTTGAATGGTCTCACCAGAAGTTTGTCATTTTATTGGTCTTTTCAAAGAACCAACTTTCAGTATTATTAATTCTCTCCCATGTAAGTTTTGTTTTCTGTTGCATTACTTCTTCCATATTGTAGTAAATAGGATCCTTATAGGAATACTTTCATTTTATAGAATTCTTTCTTAGAAGTCTTTTATTAAAGGCCAGTCACACTTGGGAGGATCACTTGAGCCCAGGAGTTCGTGGTTACAGTGAGCTATGATTGGACCACCACACTCCAGTGTGGGCAGCAGAGCAAGAACCCATCTCTAAAAAAAAGAAAAGAAAAATGAATCACCTCTAAAGGGCCAGATAAAACGGATTCTACAATGGATAAAATAGTGTAATTTTACTGTATTCAACTTAGTGATGGCCTGACTTCATCTTAATATAGTGATTTAGAATGAATAGCATAATTAATGGAATGCATATTCTTTTGGCAATTTTCATTAACATTATTTCTCACTACCAAGATTTTGAGCCATGATAAATTGTGGTAATAGCATCAGAAGTATAGTCAGTTTCAGCATAAATTACATTGACATTGATAAGCATTAACATAACTTATTGACATTCTTTTTAAAAAATTTAGGACTCCGACCAGGACTTGAAAGCCAGCTGGCCTCCACAGAGAGGTGAGCTGAATGTATACGAACACGTCAGGCAAAGTTTTCTTGAAAAGTACATCAGAATACACAAACAGTGACCCAAGTTTGTACACTATAGAATGGGGGTCAGCAAACTTTTTCTGTTAAGGGCCAAATAGTAAACATTTGGAGTTTCAGGAGCCATGTGTCTTTGTCTAAACTACTCATCTCTGTTTATTGTAGCATGAAAGCAGCCATGGACAACATGTAAATTTATGGCTGTGTTTCAATAAAGCTTTATTTACAAAAACAGGTGGCAGCCCAGATTTGGCTCTCAGACTGTAGTTTGCCAATCCCTACATTAAGAGGAAAGGTGATACCTCCTCCCGTAAGAGTCACCAAACAATAAAGTCTAATTGAGGTTATTTCTAACGGCCAGCAGAGGTAAAGGCCAGCAGCAAGAAATAGTTTTACATGGGGAAGGTAATCTTCAGGGTATTTTTTTTAAACTATGTTTTTAATAGAGAAAAATATTATAGTTCCATTAAATTGTTAATACCTTTTCCCACCTAAATGTAAGTTCTGGGAAGAGAATGATAACAAGGATTAGAGGCAACTTTATAACATGATGCTCTATGGGGAAGAAGCTGTCCTGGGAGAATAGAAGCAAGAAGGTAAATTTAAATAGAAAGCAACTGGTGAACATAACTTTGAGAAAAGAGAGCAAAGAAAGAGGACCAAGACAAAAATCAGGTTTATGGAAAACTAAAATGCCAAAGGTAAACTTTGGAATTTTACCTAGAGCTTTCCTTTTTCACCTCGTTCCAGATGCCACTGATAGGGCCTATTTTAACCCCTAAAGAAATCAAGGGAGGGGTAATTAAGACACAATAAGAAAGTGCCCTAATGTTACTTAAGTAGGGATAAGCCTTGTGCTGCCCTGCAGTGTATCACAAAAATGATGGAAATGGTAACATATTATGTTCTCTGGCTCCCATTTATGTAATTTAACAGGAACTTTGCTCAGAAAGTTTCTTGGTACTCTGAGAATACAGTCCTAAGCCTACAGTATCAGAGCAATCCAAAGGTCATTCGGTGTTTATACGGGAACCAACTTAGCCATAATAAAGTACATAGGCTGTCTGATAATGTATTCAGAAGCAGCACAATTGAGCTAAGTCACAGAAATAAGCTCTGATATGAAATCTCTCCTTATGGGTATAAAAGCAAATAATGAAGCAAGGAGTAGGACTAAAAAGAGGAAATGTAAATCTATACTGGAAAAGAACAGTTTTAAAATTACCTTGAAACTTCTTCAACCATATTATTTGATACCAAGATCCAGAAAGTGCAAATTTTTGGATTTTTGGAAAATTTAAGTCATCTAGAATTATAGAACTTCTGTAGATATATGCCATACACATTCACACACTAGAG